TCTCATTCACAGGGCTAGTGTTAGCAAAGTTAAGAGGCTAAATGACGAAATATTATATCAGAAAAAATGTTAGCATGTTAGCATTGACAGCTTCAGTTAGTTAGCATGCTGACATTATCTGAAAGTTTTTCTGGACAGCCTCACAGAACAGCTAAGACGCTGTTTGCAATTTTCGGCTATACCAACCAACACCAACATTGCCCGCTTTGTAGTTTGAATGTTTTTAATGTGCCATCTAAATGATTAAAATACATTCAGTAACCATGGAGATATCAGTAAAAATATTTTTGCCCTCAAATTTAACACTAAAAATTCAGATTATCAGATATAACTGGAAAAAGTGTAGAAATACTGCATTTAATAGTAAAATATGAGTGATTCTACATGTTTGGTCTCGTTTCTGATGCGACAATTCTTGTGAACTTTGGAACTCCTGCACTGCGCCCAAGTATTAATGTGATGACTTAATAAGAGGTCCAGGACACACACAAAGTTACTTTAGTCCACACATAGAAACCACATGAAGAGGGATGAGTCTACATACCAAAACTTACAGACCGGACCACCCTGTAACTATTCTGACAAAGAATCCCCTGCAAACTTATGTCTATGTGTGCATGAGTGTGTGTCTGACTGTGTGTGTCCACTCCCCAGGCTCCAGACAGACTACTCAGCATGCTAAACACAGACAATAAGTCAGACGATGTAAGGTGAGAAAGAAATTGGAGGTATGACCCTTTAAAAGGTCTTTTGAGCCAGCGAGAGAGAAAGAAAAGAGAGGACTTTAACCCATCATCAGATGCCATGACTAATGGTGCTGTAATAGTGGTGCGGATAAACTTGGACACATACAGCAGACCACATGCAGACAGTCTTGACTGATGCACCCTCAAGCTTAACAATCTATGTGTGTGGCCTGAGTTTCCCTGTCCCCCACACCCATTCTCCCTCTCTCTCGCCCTTTTTCTTTCTCTTTCAAAATTTGAGATTAAAGGGTGAGAAACCAAGGCCAAGAAAAAAGGGTCAAACTCAGAAGCCACAATGGTTTTGCTCTCCTCGTACTAGCCTTACTTTTCATGTCAAGCACCCTCCACTGGCCCCCTCCCTGCTTCTTTTTCCCCCTGCTTCCTCCGCCCTTTTTGCTAGCTTCTGCTCCGTGTCCAGAGTTTTAAGGATTTGCTGTAACACGGCTTAGCAGCAGGGAAATGGAAATCCTCACTTTTAATCTTTTTTCCCCCTCTCCTCTATACTCTGCACCACTTCACTTTTTTCCCTGTCAAGTTCCACCTCTCCTTTTCCCTTTTTCCACCGTTCTCCCCCCACCTCCTCCTGCTGTTATGTTCCCCATATGCTTTGATGGCTCCTCCTCAGAAGGGGAAATGATTCAGTCCCCCTGGCATGCATGGCAGGCCTGCAGCTGGACACTGCACCTGCAGCTCAGAAAAACAAGCTGACGGGTGCATGTTCGGTAACCTTTCAATTCTTATGGCTGTGTGAGAGTTTGTGTGTGTGTCTGTGTTGTGTGTGTGTGTGTGTGTGTGTACTGCATGCATTTTGGCATGTGCACAGTCAAGTAATTTTCTCGTCATAAATCAAATTCCTTCTCTTTCCCGCCTTTTTAACTTCCTACTTTGTTTCTCATTTAATATTCCCACACTTCTGCTCTCACTCAGGAAGTGTCAGGAAAATTAAAATCAGTGTGAAATGATGAATGAAGGAGCAGTGGACTCAATCATGGCCCCTAGGGTTCCTTAGTTTCAACCCGGCACATAAGGCCTCTGGGAACCTGTAGGTTTCATATTTGTGTTACGATGACAAAAATACCCGAGGCACACTAAAATTATTTGTACAAAATTACATAAGGCTACTGGGAGTAACAACCACATTGACTCAAGTTTAAAGTCCATTCATACTCACCAAAACAACCTTTTTTTGATTGAGGGTTCTAGGAGTGGAAGTATAAAAGAAAAATGAAACAGAAAGACAGAAAATTACATTATGCTTTTCATTTTTGATTGATGGCAAGTGCTGCTTAGTTGCCACAGCCCCCTGCCTCCATAAATTACACCATAAATCATGTAATTAGCGGAGGCAACCTCCAGAGAGTTACTAATGCAAGGTTGCAAGCCTTGAAATGAGGACAATAAATCTCTGGAGAGGTTTAATAATTGAATTGGTGGTTGGTTCTAATGGACCATAATGATTGAATGATGCTATTTCTGCCTACAATAATAGGCATAATGTCATGCATGCAGCAGGTTCTTACTTGCAGGTTAATGTTTTCTTTTGCCAGCTGATGGTGTATAATGTGAAGTATCTCTTAAAGGTGGAATCCACTCAGATTAAAGGGACCTCTGAAAGGCACTTTGCAGGTAAGATTAGAGCTTCAACAAGCTATTGTTGTTTCAAAGTGGTACCTAAGAGTATATTGTCTCCTTGACTGAAAACTGAAGATGTTTGTGCTTGCAGTAGTGAGAGATAGTGAGGTCTGCTCTGCAAGCGTTAAACCAGTGCAGGTTTTAAGGCTAAATGGAAGTCAAAATAAAGCGTAATTACCTCCGCACTAACAGACCAGTTGTCTCGAGCTACAGCCTGCAGGTGTTGAGCAGGAAACAGTAAGTTACAATGTGGGTTTGGTGTTCAACCATCTGCACACATGTACAAACCAGCTCCTGAGTAAGTAGGAACCCGGGTGACTGAGCTAACATTTCAGCAGCCGTCAATGCTCTTCTCTCACCACATCCATTCATCTTCCTGAGACGCCTCCTGTCCCGCAGCGCCGCAGCATCCCCACCTTGGGATCCAGAAAGGAAGCTGCGGTATAATTTTTTTTCCACATTTGTTATACCCTCAGGCAGCTCCACCTCTGTCAACACCAAAATTTGAAATGTATTTCAACTATATTTTAAGTTTGGTGTCTAAGAAGCCTGCTATTGATAAAATATAGATAATGTTTTTGGTTATTGTTAATCAATTATCTTTTTTTTTTTTCTTTCTGCATACAGGACATTTCAGTCAGCCTTTCAGCAGCTATTTCCTAATGTATCCATTACTTTTAGCCCACAGTATTGCAACAACTAATTCAACTGTTGCTCAAGTTTGAAGTTGATTGCAGTTGCTGCTGTGACGATGTCATTTCCTGCAAAGGATAAATAAAGTACCTATTATAATCAGAAAGTTTTACAACATCTGAGATAACTTGCCTTTTTTTATGCCTGCAAACTAATTATTTCAACTGATATCTTATTGCTATTGTACAGTATCAACAAGGCTATTTATTTTATCCATTACTTTTAGCTATCTGTTAGACCTTTTAGCAAACAGACTGCTATTAGCCAACATTTTGTGGTTTCTTTAAGTTAACAATCTTTTTTGTTGGTTTTTCTTCATTACACAAAAAAATATCCTTGTTTGTTTTTGCACTCATTGTAAACACGTAGCCTAGTGGTCAGGTGTTAGAGCCTGTATAAACCTATGTATCTGTGACATAGTCTGTGCATCCATGCATGTGCATCAGCATTTGTGTCAGCCAGTGTGTGTTCATGTGAGCTTGCCACTAACAAGGTGACTGGTTAGGTGCTGTGTGATGCTCCTGGGGGCCCTTGGGGTTGCTCAGCAGGCCCACACTGAGCACACTTGTCCTCAGACAATACACTACTATATGCTCTGCTGTGCACCTGTGTTTTGTTTTCATGCTGACGAAGATGTGCTTTCCTCCTCGTGGACAAAAGATCTGCTTTGTTTCCATGACTCAGGGACTAAAATAGTAAAGCTGCCACCAACTCTGAACCAAGGCTCTTTGTAGTAAAACGGCCAAATAACGTGAACACACACAAACACAGCAGTGAATGGTTACCAACTGGGTGGAATGTGGATTACTCACTGTGTCAAATGGCCACACAAATGCTGAGTGGACACTATCTCACTATGCTTTAAATACATCACGATTTTACAGGGTAACAAAAATAATTTATAAAATGTATTCATAGAGTGTCATTTGATACTTCATTTTTAATTATGAAGTAATCTCGTCCTAGTGTGCAAACTGAAGGGCAAAGGGAAAAATAAAAGTTTGCAAAAATGACTTCCAAAGCCTTAACATGCAATGCAATGCTTAAAAAGAACTGATCATTTGTTTCTATTAAACTAATCATGACGACATCAAGACAATAACTCACATAAAGTGGACAAAGGTTTTTATTTTTTTAATCATTTTTTATTTTATTTTTTTTACTCCAATGACTAAAAGAATATCGAAACCTTAAAGAGTTGAAAAGCAGTTGTGTGTCATTTTTTGGTCATTCACTGTCAATGTCAGGATCCTCTTGTGAGAGAAAATATACTACTGCCCTCTGTTGGATTCAAGGAGCAGTAGAATATGACTGACAAATCATTCAGCAGCCACATGCGACCTTTATAAAAATTATTTACATCCATCACTCATCTTTTCAGGTTTTCCTTTAATTCATGGGCTATGTGTAACTCACAGCATCATACTTCTTTGAAGGTTAACCCTTTGGGCTCCTTATGCCTCCAGCAGGGAGAGGACGGTGGACAGAGCCGGAAAGATTGTGGGGAATGACATTCCACAAAGCTCTGTGGGTCAAAGTCATACCCAGGCCGGCTGCCTCGAGAACCAGAGCCTCTGCACATGGGGCTTGGACACAACCACTAGGCCATCCAGCGTACTTTACAACAACAGACTTAGACTAAATCATCTGCATTTTGTTTTTGAAGGTTTTTGAACATATACTTTTAAAATGAATATTGTGGTAACTTTTCAAATGTTCCAAAGTTCCCAATCCAAAGTTTCTATACAGCAGGACTTTCTGTTGGTGGAAACTACTTGTCATATATCACAGCCAACCTGTCGGTCATAAGCAAATCCAAAATGTACAGCAACAATGATTGTATAAATAAGCATCTCTCAAAAGGCCGTATAGTGGTTATTTCTTTTGCTTAATTTCTGCTGTCCAGCTGGTCCTTCAGTCCTTCTTCTCTTTATTTGCTGTCCCGTTTTTGATCAATAATACTGGAGTCATTTCTTTGACAGAAATTTCATTTTGTTTCCTGGAGCAAAGGAGAGGAAATAAGAGCTTAAGTGAGAATCTTTGTAGGGAGCTTGTTCTTCTATAACAAACAGATTCTGACATGAAAGAACCCTTACCCAAGCCTTTGAGAAACCTGTTAACCCTCCGATGTTCATTCTCGTGGATGGAGTCTAGATACTCCTGCACCCTGACTTCAAACAGTCCTTAGGAAAGAGAAAGACTCGTCAATCACTGGACCATCTCTCAACAGCTGAAGATGTTTTTTGTACGGAATTCTTTTACCTTTCAGAGCCTGCCTGTGGAGCTCTCTCTCCTGGATGAACCAGCCAAACATCTGAGTCTCCATGAAGACCTCCAGGAAGCGACGCATGGTCTTAGAGGGGGTCGCTTTACGGAAACCGTCTCGCTGGAAGAAACATGGAGCGGGAGAGGAGGAGGAGGAAGAGTAGCCGTCTTCCCGTTCACCAACGATGAAGAGTGGGTAATGGCCGACGAGCTCGATGAAGAAACGAACGAAGGCCTCAGACACAACTGTGCTGAGATAGCCATGGTCTAAAGAGATATAGCAACATACATGACAATGAAACCATCTCAAAGTGCTGCTGAACTTGCTTACATCCAGACTGAAGGAAGGCTAAGTTTTAGTTTACAGCCTTTGGTAGAGCTCACCAGTGATTGTGTCTCCTCCTCTTTCACCAGCAAGCTCTCGTCTTCTCTCCAGAACGTTCTCCAGGGCTGACTGGAGCTTTGAAGGCAGGATGGAGTCTTCATCATCCAACTAAATGTGATGAAAAACGTTATAAAACTCATTTGTGTGTATGGAAGGGATTACAACTTGTTCCACATCTGTACCGATCTCACAATGCCATCACAAAAAGGTTCAACACATGGCCTACCTGTCTGAGAAATCGACTGTTTCCAAGATCCACAACCAGAACCTATAAACAGACAGCCCTGATTATTCTGATCGTCGACAGTTTTGCATTCAGGACATGCTGTAAACAATAAGTTAACAGCTGTAAAATAACCAAATATTTCTTTAGGAGTTAATTGCGACACATTAGCGCCTCGCTGACCTCCTCCAGGGGCAGCTCAGTGAGCTGGGGCAGTGAACTGGACAGCAGGCCCACAATGAACGGGGTTGGAGTGCAGACGATGTCGAGCATAGCTGAGGGCAGCACAGGGATGTAAGTATGCTGCCACACAAAGGGGTACAGCAAAGCCACAACAGCATGGCAGCACTGGGAGAGAGTGCTGTAAGGGAGAGACAAGTTCACCATAAATTAAAATAAATGTGTGTTTTTTTTATCAGAGATTTCTTGCGCAGATATTCTGACCCAACAACCCAAAAAAGAAATGGTGTTGTTGGTTTTCCTTACAGGGCAGAAGTAACCTATTCATTTTCACCACAAGAGGGTGCTGTAGTGCAAATTACATACTAAGTCTTACTACTGTCTGAAGGCTGTGAATATTCCCTAAAGCAACATTTCCCAGAGAGCAAAGCAGAGCTGCTTTCTTTTTTTTTTTATTATTTACGTCATTCTACTTAGCATTCCTGGCCTTTACTAGTGTGACCGTTCTCTCTGACTCCCTCTGGATTTGTCCTGCAGAACAAACAAACAGTCCCCAGTTCAACAACAACTCAACAGACAAGGCTCAAAATATCTCTCTGGTATGTTTCTTGAATAAAACAGGCTGCCTTGAATTTCTCTGAAAATATTGGTCAGGACCACACACTGGTCTTTCAGCTTTATAATGAAATCATCCTTGAAGCTCTATATTCCAACTTCTTTGTATCAGTGGAAAAATAAGGGTCAGTGAATGAGGCGAGACTGAGAGGGGATAAATTGCCAGACACTGAATGGACTGACCTGAGCTTGTCTGCCGTGAAAATGACCCTTCGCTCAAGCAGCAGAGACCCGAGCACCCGAAGTAGCAGCCGCAGACTCAGACAGGAGAACAGACACTCAAAGTCCACATGCTCCAAGCGCGAGTCAGAGGGTCGACAGAGCTCCATCACCTGGGAATAAAATACACCATAACTGCTGTAGTTCATGGACATTGCTTAGCCAATGATATTAAGTTACCTTTAACTACTAATACAAACTTAAAGGGCCTTTTGAAGGGCAAATCACATGTGCAACAAACCACACTTTTTGTATAACGCTCACAAAGATGCTCTTTAGTACATTTTTTTTCATTGCAATGCTTTGTCAAAATCTTTACTCGTGAAAAAGCAGTTTACATTTACGTCAAGCATATAAAGGTGAGATCAGTTACAATTTGTCAAACTCACAAAAAAATATGACACACTCTTAGCCTGATGAATATTTTGCACATTGGTGTATTTCACCTCTTCCTCCCCCTTTCCTCTAAAACCGTATGGGCTAAATGTAGAGTATCACCTCAGTGCCTGAGCCTGGGAGGAAAGTTTTAACAGTGATGGTTCTGCCTGGAGCTGGAAACTGAGCCTCCATGATGGCTCTCATAAAAGGCTGAACAAGAGCTGGAGACAAAGCCCTCCTTCTCTCCACTTCATCCAGAACCTACAGTAAACATAATGCACAAATATTCACCCACACTTTATATCTGTTTTATACATGCATGAGTAGTCTGATAGGGGACGTTGTATTACCTTGGAGAACAGGTTGAAACAGCCAAGATGACTAACAATACAGTAGACCTCTGGTAGACGTTTGCCTTTTCCACTGGGCTGAAAAAAGTACAGCATGTAAAAATCTTCATAATGTTAACAGGTTAAGAACTTGAAACACTTAGTAAAACTCTGCTGTCTTTTTATTTTTTAACAACCAGTTTCTGAATGAAGTTAAAAAGAAAAAGTTTATTATCCACATGACAGAAGACTTTACTCACGAATACTTTTTTGTTATAAAAGTAAAAAAACACTATAAAAAACACTCTCTATTAAATACATAGACACATACGCATAGGCATATACACACTTTTCCAGTCACACACACTTCCTCCCTGACTCTGAGATGGCCTGTTTTCCCACAGGCACCCCGACTATTTTGGCACGATTATTTACTCAGCCGTCATCGTGGTATTTAGCCACTTCCTGCTCAGTAGCAGAAAACATATTTATTCTTCATATTTCTATTTACCAGTAAACGCCGGCAGTATCCGAACCTCCTGCTCCCATCCTCTCCAGTCAAAACAAAGGAGAACATCTCGCTATGAGGGAGAAGGGGGAAAAGAAACACAACAAATAAACATGTGATTAGCATATTTTTACTGGGGATTTAAAAATAAATATAGATTATTAAGATGAGTAACTTTACCTCGGGTAGTTTTCCACAGGCTCCCAGCCGTTAGCGTTAGGGAAACAGAACTGAGGAATGATCTTCAGCTGATCCTCCGTCTCCCTCATGAACTTGAAGTTTCGCTCCAGCTGCAGTATAATAAGAGAAGGGACAAAATGAATTCTGCAGCTCGACTCAATGCTTCAACTTTGATTTTCAGGTTTTTTTGAATTGACAAAAAAAGAATTATATTTTTGGTCTTGGGGTAAACGAGCATATAACAAGACAAGGAGGTAGTTGAAGGATGGTTGCCTCTATATATTCAGGCCATTGTTGCCCTCCTCAAAGACAACCACTCTGCTCTGGTTTAGCATGACATTATTGCACACCTCGGCAATGGTAACAAGGAAATGATAATTTCATCCCCCTCACCTCAATAACTCATCCTCATCAATAACCAAACAGTTGAAACAGTTTTATATATCTCCATATGATACGAGATAACAGGCTCAGCTTTGACCAACACACATAAGACATTCACAAAATGAGCCACTGAAGACTGTCCCTCTGGGTTAAAAAGTACATTTATATTTTGTGGAACAAGTCTAAGGAGTACCTTAGGGATTAAGTGTTGCATGGAGCTGGAAACTGGAAATATGTTTTTACAATGTATTAGTAGTCCAAATGTTAAATCAATTTACTTAAAATGAGTTGGTTGGGCCTTTAAAATATAATTGTGACAAAAAATGGGTTAAAACTGGAGAACTCCTCTGCTCCTGACCTTTGGGGGGAACTGCTGTGTGACCTCCGGCAGGTAGTGGGCACCACCCTTTGACTTCTGCAGAGACACGACGAGAAAATATTCAAAGAGCTGACGCTGGTGGAGCTCCTGTTCCCGCATGCTGCTGGTTCCATTGTAGTGGACTCGAGACTGGCTTGGCTTGCTCAGTATGGACTTGACTGACACGAGACGCTGACGCTGACGATGAGCTGCATGGACAAAAGGAACAGTAAAATAGAGAGATAAGCTATGGTCAAAATGTAAAGAATGGAAAAAAGATGAGCAGAAAATAAAGCTTTGGGTTGCACTCTACCTTTTGCTCTTTCATCAACTTCACTCTCAGAGTCACTGTTGTCATCTGTTACTGCACACAAAAGATTTATTTAAGCCAAAACTCCATATTAACATGATAGGCATCAGGAAATACATTTAAAAAAAAAAACTTCAATAACTATAGTATCACCTCTCCCTGAGCTTGTCTCAGCATAATGATAGATCCTCCGAAGACGTTTCTTCCCAATCCGAGACTCAAAGATGCTGTTGATTCTTAGAACAACCTGTTGGAAGAAAAACTTGGACTGATAAGAAAGCATGATAACCTGGTTTACTAAATACGCTGACAGCTCTAAATTATGCACCAAAAACCATACCGTTGGTATCCTGCGGCAGGTGCGACTGTAGGGATCCCCGGGGAGCCAGGAAGTGTTTTCAGGCCCATTGGGAGTGGAGGGTGGGCTGACCTGGGGTGGAGACGAAACCCCCCCGCTGCTGTTGCTGTGGGTTGACTGGTTGGATCTGCGCAGGTCCAGCAGCTTAAAGCTCCTGGCTGAATTCTGCCTGAAGAAGCCAGGCCTCGAGTTCTGTAGAAAAGGAGAATCATTTATCAAAATCATTCAAATGAGAAGTGTTGTTGATGAAAAGTATTATGTTTGGCTTGTACAGCAGGAACCTTGGCAGTATCAGCGCCAGGAGAGGAGGGCAAAGACTGCTGGGAACACTGACTCTCCAACTCGATGTCCTCATATGGGTTCTCTTTGGAGGAGTCTGCAGGGAGACCAATGATGGTGTTTTAAAAACACGCTCATGCAAAAAATCCCTGTTGTTCTACATATCGCTATACAAGAATATTTTAGTTTGAAGTAGCTATATGAACATTTTATAGCTATATATTTTACCTTTATCTAATTATATTGCCCTTGTTCATTAATGATGTGAAACATTAGAAACAGATCCATCTAGTCATGTGCTAACAAAGGTATTTCAATAGGGGGAATATTTGTTAAAAGGGCAAACAGTAACAGTAGAGTGGCTCCATTCAAAGGGGAAAAAATCCGCAAGTCAGTAACCACACAATTATGGTGAGGCTAATGTGCTAGGCGACCAAAAAGCAACAACACAGCAAGAAATGTTCAACATCAAACCGTCCTTAAAATCAGAAGTTGTCATTCTTATGCTATGTTTGTATAAATGAAACAAAACAGATTATAATTCTTTATCAGGAAGTTTTAGAGTGGCTTTATAGATTTTTTTCATACTTAAACCAAGGGCTAGCTTTCCAACTAGTATCCATTCTTTATGCTAAGCTAAGCTAACAGGCTGCTGGGTGTAGTTTCATATACCAGACCAACACCCCAGTGGAATCCATCTACTCCTCTTTACTTTACTAAGAAAACAAACAAAGTACATTTTCCAAAACATATTCTTGGAAAAAGAAAAACCGGTGATGGATAATAGACGTTTCTCACCCAGGATGTCCTCATAGTGATGTTCCTGTGACAGTGAGCGAGAGAAAAGCGGGCCTCTTGACCCGGCGAGGTCTTCGAACTCAAAAGATTTCCTGTGACAGTGATAGGAAAAATAATTAAACATACTTCTAAGTGTCAGATATGCATATAAATATTTGATTTACTAACTTTTCCAGTGATGATGAGCAATCTACAGTTATTTTCTAGAGATCCTTACTTATTGTTCTCGTCGAAGGTTTTAAACCCATTACAAGGGATTAATATATCTCTTTAACTCAACATAACAAAGCTTGTTCTCTCATGCTAACAGGCAAATCTTCTGGCGATCTAGAAATCAAGACAATGTGTTGGTCACTGTGATTGGCCAGACCTAGACATGCCATCCTACCATTGGCAACACAAATGAGGTAAGTCAAGCTTATGTTTGTTTTCTGCTTTTGTAACTCTGGGGAAATGAGATCAATAAGGCAATCTCTCAAAACAACCTAAAATTACTTGTTATCACAGGATAAAACAAAATCCACTAAAAGATTTTGTATGATTCAGTCATTATATTTGCTCTAACATCAATTTCTATGAACTGTTTAAAATCTTCTTATTCGTTTTAATAATGCTACATCCAAACAAACTGTTAGCTTCAGACTGTGTATGTATTTCAAGTTGGTTAAGCTTTCGTTAGACCTAAAGGACTTTATTTTCTTCATACCTGTTGATGTGGTCTCTGACTCTCTCACCCCTGGGTCTCCCATAGACACCAGGAGGAGGTTTTGAGGTACTTTTTATGGAGCTGGAGGGCAATGGAGGGAGATTCCTCTGCCCTGTCCCCTGTCTTTGACTCTTCCCATCGGGGGCGTTAGCCGGATGCTGGAAGGTACGCCTGGGTTTTGGGACTGGGTTGATTGGGAGTGTCCCTGGTTCTGTGTACACATTCTCCTGGCTCTGCTTTGCTTCTGTAGCCCCAGACAATTTCACTGCATTCGCCTGACCATTAACTTCAGATATTTTCTTCTTGACCTCTACCTGTTTGTCCTTGCTTGGCGGGCTGAAATACTTTCCAAGCTCTGGAGGAGTTTTCCCGTGGTTTCCTCCCATTGCCTCAAGCTTTTTGAAAAGAGTGAATACAGCTCTTTTCTCCTGGCTGTTTTGTCCAACTTTTGTCTTTTCATTGCTCTTTCTCAATGTCCCAACCTGCTGTTGCTGTGTAGTTGCTGTAGGCGAACAAGACCTTGAATCCCCAGGCCCCTCTTCATTCTCTTTATCATGATCCTCCTTTTGCTGAAAGATTGTTCTACTACAATCCTCCAATGCATTGTTCTCACTGGACTTGCTGCTGTTAAGCATACCTCTTTGCGGTTTCCCACTTTCTAAAGGAGAACAAGGCCTTGAGTCTTCAGGTTTTCCTAAATTCCCTTTCCCATGATTTTGCTTTTCCTCATGTGCGACTCGTCCATAACTCTCTGCACTCTGCTCATCAGTGATTTTACTGATGCTTTTCGTCAGGGAGTCTGTCCTTTTTATGCTGGTAGACTGGCCCAAAGAACTGGAGGTAGTGGTCGAGTGATCAGGTTCCTTACCCTCCCACAGAGAAATCTTGTCCTTGATGTTGCAACCATTGGATCTGGGGAGCTTGTTACCTATGAAGAGAGCTTTCTCATTGCTTTGAGGGTCAAGCGTCGGCCTTTTGTGTGCCATCTTGGGTGATTTTTCCCTTGGACTGATAAGGTTGTCTAATGGGGTGAAGGGGAGCTTTGGAGCCCACTCTTTTCTTTGCTCAGCTAACTTGTTTTCTGTTGAGGCAATATGGGGTTGCCTTGTCTGAACAAGCGAGCTCTTCTTTGGCCTAAATACACAAAGAAAAGAGTTGAATGCTAAACAGGGATCCTGTTAGTTGCAGAATAACTAAAGTCACTTGAAAAATATTCCAAAAAATATGTAGGTCTACCCAATATGATTGCAAATGTATTTGATAGGCCTACTGATCTTCAGAAGACAAAATTATTACAATAAGCAGTCATGTATCTGCCATGGTATCGCACAACCAAACACCCCGTGTTTCCAATAAGAGCGCATGAAACTTAGCAAGCAAGCCAACATATGTTGAATCAAAGCTTCTTCTAGCAAACGAGCTAACAGAAGCCATCTTAGCATTGTACAGCATGTTAAGACAAAAGTCCACACTTGATGAATAGTTTATGATAACTAATGAATAAGTTATCATAACTGCTACACTGTTTAGATAACCAAAACTACTACTTAAACATACTGGATAAAGTAGTTCAGTAAGCTAACCCATACCTAGCTAAAATGATTGAAAAACAGTCACAGAGTAGGCCTAAGTTAAATGTAATGTTTAGCACCATACCTTGGCAATTAGCTGACCTTTGTTAAACACCTAAAAGTAAGGGCTAAATGGTTGAAAAATCTTCTGCCTCGCATGTGGTTTGGATATAAGACCAAAATGGCAAATTAAATTGTAATGGAGAAATGTGTTAAAGTACACAACTGTGAGGGGTTCTTGAGCTTACTTCATGAGCTTTTTAATATAAAAAGTTGAGAATCATAATTTTAGAGAACTCCTCATGACTTCAAAGTTCCCTAGACTTCCCAGTTAATTTCCTTTAACTGCCAGTTTGGGGACACTCTTTCTTTTTCTGGCGACATGTGGGAAAATTCGGCCTGTACATGCCAGAGGACAACCCTATGACCGAGCATCTCCTTCTGATTGGCTCACTAAATAAACACTAACTTGGACCACAGCCCATTTCATCAAACTGTTACGTTTTAATAAATAAACAGGCGGAAATGGGAAGCCATAGGATGTCCGACCTTTTCTGACTTTTCCTTTATGGAGACGATGACTATACTAATTTCTCAAGGTCATGAGAAAAGTATCAATATTCTACAGGGGAGATATGTACAGATAAACCCATACAAACCTGATGACAGTGGAGTAAGTGTAGTCCGGCTTGGTTTTCATTCTATCAAACGTCGCCATCATTACTGTACACCTGAGACCAAGAAACAGAAAGATAATCATATTTAATGTGATTTCTGTGTTCAATGTTTTTAGCAATGTGTTAACCATTAGGATAGCTGCAGGGGATCCTAAGTAACTAATCTAAACTAGCTTTGTTATTAGCATCCATCCTGTTGGCTTGACTCAAAATGGCAATGTGATGGGCATTTTCAATGAGACTGAATCACATTTTGTTTCTTCATTATGTATCCAAATGGACTGAAGAGGTGTGATAAAGCTGGTTATTTGCAGTATTCAGGGTACAGCTGGGCAGACTCAAGGAAAAAAAAGATCAGTCAGGGACCCAGTGGAAGTTACTCAAGAATTTCATAACACAAACCAACATTTTTAAGGTCATTAGGCAGCTCTTGCACAAATTAATCACTTTTTTCTGCTTTTTCTTTCCTTTAGTGTACAGTTATATATTCCCAAATCTGATGCTGTCATGAACTTTGTCCCTCAAGGTGACTAAAATACTCTCTTCCTCTTGACTCAAATACTTTCACATCTCTAAGGCCAGCGTTTCAAAGTTCAGTGGCCTCTAAGATAGCGCTGGGTAATTTCCCAGCTCTGTTGTCATCATTTGTTTAGTTGATATGTAGCTGTAATGACAGTGTGCATGAGCAGAGGCACAGGATACGGCTCTTAAAGACATAAAGACATAGCTGATGATAAGCTGGGAAACATTAAGATACATGGTTCTGTTAGATAAAGACAACAAACCCTCCAGAGCTACACAATTAATCAAAACATGTATAGGCAGCTGGTTGCAGAAAGCAGAGCACTTCTCATTTTTCAAATTTTAGAAATACTTACAGAAAAAACAAAGCAATTTACCACATGAATACATTTCACTCATAATATATTTGCATGATTCTCAAATTTTGAGAAAAGCCAAAGGAAATACAAGACATCAACCCACTCTACACAAAATTAAATCTGTTTCATACCTCTTTCTGCCGTTTAGTTTCCATTTGCTCCCGTGTGAGATGGGAGCATAATGCAACCAAAGCTGCTATAATAGTATCCATGGGTATAACCTCCGAACCACTGTGGCACACTATAAGTCCAGGTTGGACAATCTGCAATAGGATTTTCCTAACTTAACCTAAGCCTTGAAGCAAGTCATTAGATGTTTAAGTGAAAATAGTGACAGAAGAGTCCCACCTCAAACTACTGTACACTCCTCGCCCTGTCTCTTCTCCAATCTTCAACTTTCATTCACTCTCTCTCTCACCCCACATACCCTGAATGTGACTTCCTCTCTCTCTCCCTCCCTCTTTTTTCATCAGCTGGTTCTCTCCCACACAACTTCCATAATGAGCAAGCAATAAAGAATGAATAAATGACTCTTAATACTAACTGCAATGACCTTATTCAGGAATAGCAGCTGGGAAATGACTGACAAAAGGGAAATACATCATTGCGTGACATTATTTCCCTCCAAATCTGAGATTTCTTGGAATTCCAATCACAACTGCTTCTGAGCTACAGTTGCTCATGCAGCTGTAGGTTATGCAGCCCACCCTTCTTGGTGTCAATTCCATATAGGCCTAAATATTCAGTAAGAGAGTGAGAAGGACATTTGCAAACTAAAAGTAAAATATGGTTTTCCAAAAATGAAATGTTTTGTAAAGTGTTATTAGACAATGATGACCGGATGGGACCAATAAAGTAATAATTACTTTAAATTAACAGAACAACTATTTCATAAATAGGTAGAAAGCATACCATGTCCATTACATCTTTTTCACATTTATTTAGTGCACACTCAATAATTTTACAAGGAATAAAACATTTTTTCACTTCTTTTATCACATTATTATTTTAAATTCTTAGTTTTCATGGCCTACTTATATTTTCCTTACTTATCCTTGTTTAGTACACAGATTAATGGTGGTTGTTGTATGTCACTACACATATTACTCAGCCTATACATTTAAAACATGTAAATATCAGAATTCTTCAATGAGCCTGTTAAAACTTACCAAATCTAACAGCAATAGAAATTCAGAGCAATGTCAAAACGTAAAAGTATGCAACTCCTCTTAAAACACACTTTAAACACATAACAAACGGCCTTACCATTTATTATAGTTAAAGGCTTACCAGAATTAAAGTGTGGTCCAATGTCTGTGCTGAGTCCTTGTCTCAGTGTCAGGCAGTGAAGTACAAAGTACATTTGGCGCAGCAGATTTTGAACTATGTAGATATTTTCCTGGAGCCAATGAGAGGTTGGCTCTTCCAACAAGTGGTACAGTGACAGGTGAAAGCTTAGCAGTTGTCACTCAGAGGCTACTGTCACTCTCCCAGTAGTATCCCCACCATAGACTGTAAATATACCCCACCTGTCATTCCCCTCGTGTTGTTCCACCCCTGTCCTGCTGGTGGCAGCAGTGCGCCGCCGTGCTCTTGTTGTGGGACGCGACGTTCGCGTCACAGGAATCCACAATAAACACGGGATTGTCTTTCTGCACTACACCGAGAGCAAACTACACGAGCAGAAAGGTAAGAAAACGCTCTGTCTGTTGCTTGTTTCTTCAGAGTATGAAGCTTTAAATGTCTGTTGTGTGAAAGTCGACTTTAAAGGTTCAAAGGACCCGGAACTGGCTGTGTAAATAAAGGCTCGGTGACCAAGTAGCGTTATGTGCCTTGTCACTTTATGAGGCAGAGATGGGCAGAAACTGCTTGGATTAGGCAAATACAGCCTTTACATTTCTTGTGAAAATTCGTTAAAGACTGGGTATTTAGGACCGTATTTTGCATGTTTATTAAAAGATGATATTGTCATCTATGACCAGCTAAATAATCTGGGTTAGCACACCAAACAGAGTTAATATGAGAGGCACAAAGTAGACTAAAGTGATCCGTCTTTTCTTCAGTCTGCAGGACTATTTGATAGCGACCATTGAACTGGTTATCACGCTTTTTTGCCCATTTTTTTCCTTTCATTTTGTCCTCCAGTGGATAATAAGATAGTCCCACCTGTCAGTTTCTGTATCGATGGGGAATGAAAAGTTGCTGACACACACCTTTGGTGGAAACAGCACCTGTGACAGGCTGTTTGAACAGTGCTTTGCTGAAAGAAAGGGAAAGGGATATATGGATTGTGTAAATGTATAAATCATAAAGAAATCATTGTATGTCAAGTTGTATATATGTTTGGAAAATCATTGGATTGTAAATATGAAATATAGTATCATAAATATAGTGTAGCAAATTGTGTATATATAGAGATTATAAGGAACACAGGAAGTTAATTTAATTTAATAAATATTAATTATTGAGCTGTGGAAAAGGGGTAATAAGTTTTATACTTCTTCCGCCTCCTTTTCAGGCATATCAATTGAATATATGTAATTTGCTTTTTCTTTTTTTGTGAAATAATTGGAACTTGTATTTTTGTGCTTTTCATTTTGTTTTGTATTTTTGATATGTTTTTTTATTTGATATGTCTGAAATAAATTGAATCAATCAATCAAAAAAACAAAACACTGCGAGACACAGAACAGAACAATCTGAAAAAACTGAACTGTAAAGAGCAACAGATACTAAAGTTCACATACAGTTGTTCTGTAATAACAAAAGGCTTGTCATAAGTAAGAAAAGAGCATGTCGATTACAATATTGGTGCTTTCATGAGATCATTCTGAACTTGTTGATTTCGGTATGAAAAACATCTCTCCCTTCTTCTATTACAAACCTGAGTAGACAGAGCACACAACCGGATACAAGAAGTGTTGCTCGACTGTTAACCAGGATGTAGAAGCAGTCATGTGGAAAAAAAAAACAACTGACTTTCATATCAAGTTTTTTTCAGATGAATGCTTCTCAAATTAATCACACAAGCGATTACACAGACGTTTCTCCAAAGAATCTGACAAGTCTAAAAGTCTGTTTTGTTTCGAATTAAGATTGTTCATTGCTTGAGTTGTACTTTCAAAACTGATCTCTTAAACCAATCCCACAGATTGTTTTGCGCTTTTCAATGCTGATCCAGATTAATGCAGATTGTCTCTGTCTACCATGTAACCGATCTACATTCAGTTTCTTTTTTCATCCTCATTACATAAAAAGTATTTTTTACCCAAAATACCTTTGGTGCAATTTGAAGGAAAGCATGAGAAACGGCTGTGAGGAATGCATATTTTAAATTGAGGGGAAAAGGCAGCACCAATGTAGAATAGGTAGTCTGTCTGAGGGAAAACCCAGGTTTAGGTATCAGAGTCCTTTTGGGTTGAGAAGTAGCGCTGCATCTCTGTTTTCTACTATGTAAAGCTGTGTTAACATCATGAGGTGCTACACAGCTAACACTGAACAGGCTGCTGGGTGAGGTGTAATACACTGGGCCCTTTGATATGTGTAGTGGCCGGACAACACCTAACATTCAGCCCGAATGCTTCTATTGATACTCGTTTTTTTTTAACCAAAGGAGATGGAAACTCTGGACAGGAGGCTGCCTGTTGCAGCACAGGTATCATCCATGACCGGTTCAATGAACAGTAGTGGAGCGGCTAAGTGCTTATTTTCGTCAGAATCTTTCAGTCGATGATACAAGCATGCAAATTGGTATGAGCAGTCTCTAAGGGTTGCTTGACAAGAAAACACTCCCAGCCACTTGAAATGTATATTTTCAAGATGGCCGCCCCCCTGGATCCTGAAAAGATCAATTATCTCATAGAAATGTATTGGGTTTTTTTTCGTTATATTGATGATTAGATGTCATTTTATTTGATATGTTTTAGATTATGCTAAAGAACAACTTTTAACGCATCAAAATACAGTTGTGTTGATGTGTTGATCATAGATAGATTAGACGAGAGTGAATATCTGCACCACCAGGGCACACTGGTGATATATCACTGCTGTTAAACTCAGAGTGGGGTTCAATGTCACAGTTAGATAGCCGCACCTGAATTGACAGGTCGTGGCAGCGCGGGAGAGCCGAGCCAAGGTTAATGGGGTTTTAGTTAACCGGATGGTGTACAGATCGCACGGGATATAAATGGCATTGGATGAACGATCGGAGTAAGTGTAGGGTTAAGGCATGAAACTTGGTTGTATCCCATACATCAAAGTGCTTGGTAAAAGGTGGTAAGCGGATAAACCCTCGGCCTCTGCCTGTGCATTTGCTGCAGACATTGGCAGAAGCCATCATAACAGTTGAGAAAACTAACTGGGACAGATGTTTCATTTGTCAGCCAGGACACCAAGGAAAAACTCATTCAGCCGAGTTTATTCAACAGAGAGCACGAGTCTTCTGGACTCCACTTCCACCTATTGCGGAGAGTTGTTGGGAAATGTGGGCGCACCGAGGCATGTACTGGAAGGTGTAAGTGCTTCAGATATGGACTCAGTTGCCCCCGCTAGAACCTATTTGCCTGTTTCTTTTGGCAGAGTTATTCCCCGTTGTCCTCTGTGTTTTCAGGTGGCTCGGCTTCCCCTCGCCACATCGCTGCATCATGTTTTACTTTGACACCAGCCTGTTACTGTGAAAATTGCTCCTGCTGCCTATATCTAACAGTGAAGCCTGTTTTCAGTTTAGTTCCTTAGTATTGTTTGAGATACTTTCTGTTTGTCGTGGTTCCGTGGTTGTGTCAGCCAGAGCTGCTGTTGCCTCTGGATCTGTACTTATTGTCATTCAGTATTAGCCATTGCTCAATTGTTATTTTGGAGCACTGTCCATTCAGCAACACAACTGTTCTAATTTATTAATCTTATTTTTGGTATTTTTTAGTATTTATTTGACAAATTGAATGGCTGTTAGTTTAAAAAAAACAAAAAAACCTCCCTTGTGACTGTTACCTGGTCGTGGTAAGGGAGCTTGTGTACCTCAGTGAACCCTGAGAGCTACGCCGGTGAGAGGCAACTCCTGACAGGTTTTACCAAACTGGACAGGCCTTTTGAGGAACCCAATACATTTCTGTGAGACAATGTATCATTTGAAGATCCACATGGCGGGCGGCAGTCATCCTGAAAAATGGCCGCCATCTTAAAAACTTCAAGCGGATGTGGACGTTTCTTGTCAAATGACCCTTTTGAGACGGCTCATGGCAATTTTTTTAATGCTTGTATCACCAACTAAATGATTTCTTAGGCCAAACTGCTCCACTAAGGTGGTGGCCATCTTGGAAAAAAATGGCCGCCATCTTGAAATTTCAAATGTCTCGGACAATTTTCTTGTCAAGTGACCCACGGAGACAGATCGTGCCAATTTCTTTAGGCTTGTATCACAAATTGAAAGATTGTAGCACTTATCTGCTCCCCTACAGGTGGAATGGTATTCATCACCTGGTGGTCACTAGAAACTTGGGTGGGTGAAGTCAAACTCTGCAACCTTTGAAAGGAACATCCACTCTTTCCCTTTTTGCATGAAACACCTATGGTCAACTTTAATCCTGGGATGTGTGGCGGTGATAGTCACTGTGTGTGGATAACCATTCATTTGTAATAAACTTCTCTCAAACAGAAACAGTAGCGTTGTTGAATGATATGACTGTTTTTAGTCAAGGTAATAATCAGTATCATAAAAAAGGACATATTAACACATTTTCTAATTCCTTTCTCCAGGCTACTTTGTTCCTTTGTCCTTTTCCCATCAGGCATAGTGGGAAAATATAGCCGAGTCCCCTCCCTGTCTTGTTGCTATTCCCCCTGAAGACCTCCACCACCTCCTTCTTCCTTGTCCTCCACCTCTTCTTCCCTCCAGCCGCCCCTGTGATGCCTCCCTCGTGCTGTGGCTACCTGTCACAGTACACCCATCATCACCTGGTTGTCTTCCTCCTCACCTTCTTTAGGTAATGCAGACATCAAACATACCTTAAAGATCTTCCTAGAAAATCAACTCCCGGGTTGGTTTCTAGATGACCCTGTGGTATGTTTTCTTTTTTTAAGGCTTTTGTGTTTTTTTTTGTTTTTTTTATTGTTAGCCTTATTTTGAAGAAGCTGTATGGCATACTGAAAGGGAAACGTCCCCAGAGAGATGGGGGAATTAGATTCCAGACATATTTGGCTGCAGTTTTGTAACAAAAATCTTCTTACAGGCCATTTATAGCCCACTGCGTCACAACCCTAAGAACACAGTTGCATAAAAGAGAAATGTAGCTAGTAGAATAATGCACTGAGGCTGAGCTGTTAAATTAGGTTAAAGGTCTCTGAAGCAAGGTGAACCTAGGTGAGATGTGGTCAAGATAACTGAAACAATAAGTAATGATTTCCTATAGGAAGGCATGCTACACGGAGACTTTAAATGTCTCAAACAGAATGTGAAAAATTATTTGGAACATTTCGGGAGTCATTTTTAGAAGCCAAGAATCCAAATGAGTGTTAAAGCAGAGGAGAAAATATGAATGGAAATCTGTTTAATGCCACCCGGTGAATCCCATTGCGTGCGTTTGTTTCAGTCCGGTCTGTTGATCTTTGATCACAGTAGATTTGGTGTCACACGTCTGCAGCCTCAGTGTGACCCTCTTATCACAAAGCAAAGTGCCGCCTGCAGCAGGAAGTTTGCACACGGGGCAAAATGCTGCTCAGCAAAATAAAGTCTTTGCATTTGAGTGTGTCCTGTAAAGTCTTTGACCTGAACTGAACTAGTGCTCTACTGGAATTTGACCTACTGAATGTGTTCCGCGACCATTTGCACCTGAAGACAACTAACTAGAACTTCTTTATTAATCAAGGTATTGCCATAAATTATTGTCAGTATTTAACACATGCTGCTTTGCTGAATTTGAGCCCTTAACTTGACAAATGGAGTTATTGTTTAGGTTAACAGAAGTGGTATTCCGTCTCAAAACCTGTCTGTTCTGTTTTGTGTCTCTCCAGCTATGTGTTGCTGCATGCGTCCAGGAAAACCTTTAGCAATGTGAAAGTGAGCATCTTGGCCCAGTGGACGCCGTCCATCGAGAATGGCAGCGCATCCGCATACTCCCCTGGCGAGGTAACGTTCACCATCAGAAACGATCTGAGTCAGGGGTCTTAAACTTCACTTCTTCATCAGAATGTAAACCAAATCAGCTGCCAATTTAAGTTCTCAACATAAAAAAGCAGGATCAGAGAGTATCTGTATTTGTTTATTTATCACCAGACCTGAATTTATAAGAAGTGTACTTTGTTATTTTAAGTTTTTTTTTATTCTGAAAGGGAATGTGTGCAATATTAAATGTTTTCTTTTGATTGCAAACTGTATTTTGGTTACAGCCCTTCTGAAAAAGACAAGTAGATATGGTAATCTGTGATTCTGCTTTCCTCTCTCAGACATGGGAGGACAATCGTTTATTTGCAGATAAAGAGCAGGCCACTCTGTTTCTGGGAGCGCTGGACTCCATCTTCCTGTTCTCGTATGCAGTGGTGAGTTACAAAAATAAAACTTTTATGACGATTACTATTTCATAGTGTGTCACAGAAATACGCAGAACTGGCAGCAGCTGAGTGGTGACATGCAAACCCTCATTCTTCTCTGTATATGTTTTTTCAGGGGTTGTGGCCTCTAACAGCAGATTAACTATGAATGTAGAGCTAGCAGAGTTGCAGCTACTTGTCACTCTTTGACTAAATCAGCGCAGTAATTTTCCACATGTGTTGTTGTTGTTTGCACACAGGGCCTGTATCTGAGTGGTGTGATTGGGGACAGAGTGAACCTGCGCTACTTGCTCTGCTTTGGCCTGTGTGGCTCTGCTGCTGTGGTGAGTTCAAAGACCTCATGTCAGTGGTCAGTCCCTTCATATGACATGTTGGATTACAACTGTTACTTGTGTGTGTGTGTTTGCAGGAGTTTGTGTTTGGCACTCTGACTGAATGGCTCAAATTCTACAACGTCTACCTGTACTGTGGCCTCTGGGTGCTGAATGGCCTCCTGCAGTCGGCCGTCTGGCCCTGTGTGGTGGCCGTCATGGGAAACTGGTTCGGCAAGACGGGGTGGGTGACACTTCTCTGTTTACAAAACCTACATTTGCTCCACAGTGCTTCTCTTTTACAGTCGGATGAGTTTTGATCCAAACTGCAACATCTATGCAGCCTAAAAATATTTCGCCAAGTAGTCGTGTGTCAAGTTTAGAAAGGGAAAACGCCCACACGCGCACAATGACATCCATTCATCACCGCTGCCTCCAAACATAGACGCTATTTAGACTCAGTTTTCCTCAGCGACAGGACTTGCAAACAGAATTTGCTGCACTTAGAAATATCAACTGAACTTGTAAAGTCCTTTTTTTTTTTTTAAAAAAAGTACTTTTATATTTCTATAAACTATTCATCACTGAGATTCATTTTGTTTTCCAGTCGTGGCTTTGTGTTCGGCCTGTGGAGTGCTTGTGCGTCTGTAGGCAACATCCTGGGGGCCTTCCTGGCTTCGAGTGTCCTCAAGTATGGATATGAGGTATGAAACACACACCTATGTTACCAGCACAATATGTTATGTTCCTAAATGCTTACATGATGTACTCTTGTGTGCAGTATGCCTTCCTGGTGACATCAGTGGTGCAGTTTGCTGGTGGGGTGGTGGTGTTCTTCGGCCTTCTTACATCCCCTAAAGAAGTTGGTAAGGACTTTTACAGGAAGAATGTGCCACATTGTACACATACAGACAGCAGAAATCAAGTATATCCTCTGTAAATGTCTCTCTGAGTCATGACTGTCAACAATGTGAGTGAGAAGCTTGAGTCCCGTCGGCTAAGTTGTTTTTAGAGCTGTGTTTACGTGGACGATAGCCGACTCCTCCCCTTGCAAAGTTGTTTCAGTCAAGGACTAGAGAAAAGAAGAATAACAAAGCCTACTCACTGCTTATTTCAATGTCGCATAGGCGTTGTTAGATCAATGTGCCGTGTCAATTATATATGCAATGAGAAGCTACGTGTGCTAACATTAGCATGCTAATACAATGATGCGGGCCACAGGCAATTGCAGCTCCAGCCAAGGAAAACTTTGGTCAGCCACTTGCGCTGAACTCCTTCATGCGAACACGAGTGGTTGGAGGTGTGTCGCTGGAGGAGGAGAGCGGAGGCTTCAGTTTGGTGAAGGTGTCGCCAAACAGCAGTTTGTTTTGGTTTCGTGCTGGTGCTCTAGGGCGACTTTTAGTGGATTAAAAAGTGGCACATTCGTCCTTTTTTTAAATTGACTTTATCTGAAATGAAGCATCCTCTTAATTGCTGCTCAGTTCCTATATCTTACATGATTTCTTAATTAGTGTGTTTTCACAGTCATGGGTTATGTTGCTGCTTTTTTAACCAGACCCCACTCTATGTGTTTCCTTGAATTATCCTTACGTCTACCCACAGAGACCATGTTCAACTTCCACACACACAGCACATTATTGTCTGATTTCCTTGACTCTTGATTGAATGAAGGCACCGCTGCTCAAATGTGTGTGTGTGTGTGTGTGTGTCAGGTTTATGCTTGGAGTCGGAGACTGGGCTCAGCCCTGTGGAGACGGACACAGACAGCCACAGGCCTTTGATGAGCGACGAGGAGGATGATGCGGAGGTGGAGGTGTACGGCAGACCGTACCATTCAGTAACACAGCCGGATGAACCTCTGGAGGAGCCTCCAAAGGCCATCGGATTCTGCCAGGCGTTCTGTCTGCCTGGAGTGCTACCTGTGAGTCCCAAGTATCAAGGAAAATGATTTACGAGAGTCTTTTTAAACAGGGACTGTTACATTGATCACAAACATATATTGAGCCTGTCCCTGTTTGTGCTGCAGTATTCCCTGGCTTATGCGTGTCTGAAGCTGGTCAACTACTCCTTCTTCTTCTGGCTTCCTTTCTACCTGAGCAACAACTACGGCTGGAAGGAGGCTGAGGCTGACCGCTTGTCCGTGTGGTATGATGTCGGAGGAATCATCGGTGAGTGACACACAAATAAGGACTTCTTCTTCCATCCTTTATAACGTCATTGCATCATTGAAGTGTCAGATGATATCAAATGTGCACTTTTTTCAAGGGATGTTGGTACTAGTATACTCAAAAAAACTGAATACAGAATAAACATGTGATTTTCTAATTTATCAGGCTAGTAAAGAAGTGCATTATGGGTTTCTTGTGTAATTCTCTCCAGTGGAGGAATGTCATATGTTGGTTTAGCTACAACAGTGGCGAGTTTATTACAATGCTAGAGTAATAATAAGAAGTTTACTCTACCATCTTTAAGAGTTTGGATGTAAAATTCTGTTTTCTCGTTCGTCTTTGTCGTTTTGTTTTTCTTCCTCTCAGGTGGGACAGTTCAGGGTTTGATTTCTGATTTCATGGGAAAGAGGTCTCCAGTGTTGGCTGTGAGTCTGGCTCTGGCCATGGGAGCCCTGGTGGGATACAGCCGTGAGTATACGTTTTGCGATGATAAGTTGAGTGACAGATCAGCAGAAAACAAACAGTTGAGACATAGTTTGATCTTTTATTCAGAACTTTAGTTTTAGGATTTAAACATAACTCATTCCCACCCATGCTTTCCTGACATAACCTCTTGCTCTACTTTGACAGGCACAGATTTTTGAGCGTGCTCTTGCACCATGTGATGTAACTTGAAGTGGCTCCTTGCAATAGTTTGAGCCACAACAGAATAATTCTAGCGTCTCTTTGTCTTCTTTGTTCTCAGGCTCACCAAATGACCAGCTGATAAACGCAGCACTGTTGGCCACCACCGGCTTCTTCATCGGCGGGCCGTCTAACATGATCAGCTCGGCCATCGCCGCTGACCTCGGGAGGCAGGATGCTCTGAGGGGGAGTCAGGAGGCGCTGGCTACCGTCACTGGCATTGTGGACGGAACTGGAAGTATAGGAGCCGCCGGGGGACAGGTGAACAAAACACACACACACACACACACAAAAACATACAAGATCAAGTTTTAGATGCAACATGTGTTACTGTATATTATAAAGTTACCTGCAGAGCTGCAGTACTCTCAAAAGTAAAGTCCTTCAATGTTGAGAAGAACAAAAATCTCAGTGTTCTTTGGTGTTGCTAGCTTGAATCATTACTCCATGATCAGCAAGTCATATCCACAGTTTCACGCTGCGGTTATAGTTTGGATTGAAGCTCTGATTCAGCGCGTCATTTAGCACCGCTGTGGTTTTTCACCTGCAGATTGACAGCGGAAACTTTTAACCTCCATTCTTCTTCTAGTACCTGGTGTCCCTGATTGAGAGCAGACTGGGCTGGACGCATGTTTTCTACTTCTTCGTCGTCATGGTAAGCGGACTTCCTGAAAATATTGTTGGCCTTTTTTCCAACTGCAGTTTGACTTGTGGAAATTTAGGGAAGTTTTGCTTTTTTTTTTTTTTTGTGATCAAATATTTATTGGATATTTTTCAATATGGGTAGGCAGGAAACGATTACATGATTTCCTTTGAGCAGAACAAGGCATACATTGTGAAACTGTAGTACCTGCCATATTTACAACATAAACCTTTAAATGAACACATAACCCTTTTTATAATTAAGATTATTTTGTTCTGATGTTACAGACTGCGGGCAGCATCGTGTTCATCACGCCGCTGCTCATCAAAGAGGTCCGAGCCATGTGGAGGGACAGACACGCGCTGCAGCGCCAGCTATGAAGACGCCAGGTGTAATGTTTCTCAGTTATCAGTGCAAGTACTGCAGGGCAGCTCAGAAGCGTGGGAGTGGTGGAAAGATTTGATAAAAAATAGTTTCTCACCAACCATCAAGATGAGGTGGAGTTACAGAACCAGCTGCTATACCTCCCACAACCACCAGTGGGCGTCTGTGAGCAGCCTGAGCTGAGAGAGTCTTATCCACTCACTGAGGTTTGAAACGTAAACTTACACTTTTTTTTAGTGCCTGATTAAAACAGGCTTTTTAAAGAGAAGCTGGTTGTCAACCAGTCTGTGAGTTCAGGCCTTGCGGAGTCTTCACAGAATGTACTGCTGTGTATATTTTTAAGATTTTAATGGATTGTGAAAACTATTTAAAGTGTTGACGCTTTGAATTGAGGTCATCAGATTTCCGCCTCTCAAATCAAGAGTTCTTAGCTTAAAGCTCTCTGAGACTATTGAGACGCTGAGATTGCCGAAAGATTGTGAATAAATTATTGTAAAGTAGAAATTCATCGTCACCATCATCAGCCTTTTTAAGCCATTGTAGATATGTATGATATTTTCCTTGATGTAATATTGCACTGTAGTATATTTTTAAGCTTTCAAGAAACAGTTTGAGGATTTTAATGAACCACTTAGATTTTAGCCGAGGTTTAGGAAACTTTCATGGAATAACCACTTGATTTCTCTCGTGTACAGCTTCGTGTAATCAGGTTTATGAACTATACTGTAAAGCATTATGGGTACTAAACACGGGTCTTTCACGGATGTGAAGCATGCCCATCATTCCTTTTTTGTTTTTCAATTTCTGTTTACGGGAATGTTTACACCTTGAGTTGTCATTGTCTTAATTTACAAGTGTTCTCTTTGAAAACACACACACACACACACACACTGACAAAAAGACAACCTCCAATTGTCTTCTTATTTGACATTGTCACACGTCTCACACATTGAAATGTAAACTGTAGACTGACATTTGCAGAAGACAAGAAACGTCTTGCCTGTTTGTTGCAGATTTGCACTTTTTTTTTTGTCTGGACATCTTGACTATGAATAAGTGTCTCAACATTGTGTGATTTTTTTTTTTAAAAAGCCAACAACACTTCCATTTACATTGTTAATACTCATGATCAGCGTTGGATGCTCATTAGCAGAGAAACCATAGATTAAGTAAGATTTGTTTCCTTCTCCACTAGACTCTTGTGTCAGTAACCACGAGTCAAAGGAAGATCATTTGGCTATAAGTCACTAAAAGGAAAGAATTTCTGACATTTCCAGCTACTGTGGTCAATTGCAAAAAGCAAATGTTACATGTAGATACATAAACCCCCCCATGTGAAGTAATTCTGAACACTTTATGCGAACAGTGAAGCTTCAACTTCTGTTGTCTTTAAACTTGCTGATGTACATTGAAATCTCTGTGGAATGTAGAACACTATCTGTAGTGATGTTTTTGTTTTATTTTTTATTTTTTATTTGTGTCCTTTTTAAGTGTGAATTTGATTTTAAATGAATGAAAGTTCAATTTGCAAACTTTGAAACTTTGGTCTGTTATTACACATCATTGTTTTATGTCAATCTTTTCTCTAAATATCCTCTTAACCAGTGGTGTAGTGGAGCCTATAGAAGCATGTATACTCTACTTTTTACCCTAAATGTTTTTGAAGTGGTCCGCCCAGCAGAGGATAAACCGCGTCAGTGACATGTATGACTACTCATATTTAGTCAGTCTGTACTAACCAATCAGAGACAGAGTAGGGAGAGTTACCCCTTCACCATCAAAGAAAGAAAACAATTATTTACATGTACATAATACTGAATATTGTCAATCATTCATTGTGTGAATCAGAGTAGATTTAGAAGTGAGTATACATTACGGAGACTGAAGAAGGTATACCTGTGTTTACCCTGCACTACACCTCTGCTCTTAACTTAATATCAACATTTCATAAGCCAAATGTAGAATACAAAAGTCTCCTTTGAGTTGACTGTGAAATGCTCCTTGACAAACACCAGGGGGAGCTACTAGCTTGAGTCGAAACCCCAGTAGTTGACTGTGAATAGCTTTATAATAACCACCAGGGGGAGCTCCTTCCTTGAGAAGAAACCCAAGAGTTTGAACAGTCTCTTTATAAATCCATGTTCATTAGTGAAAAGAAACAACAGACCAGTATGTTGTGGTTTATATCAGTCTTACGAACATTGTTTTATTCTGAGCACACTATGAAATCAACAACATGAAAGGTAACAGTGCACCAACAACCCAGCAGTATAACATTTGTCGTACAAATATCAAAAAGAATAGTGTATGATTCTGATCCAATAAGAAATACACTTCTTACATGTAGCCAGGATACACAAACCAGCTTTAAATTAAAACAAAATTATAACAGATCACAATTCCCCCTTGCAAATACCAGGTCAAATAAAAAATAAACAATCGCTACACTTTGATAAAGCAGCGACTGCTGGATTAGGGAGCCGAGTTTGCTTGGGCACAGCGAGACACAAACGAGATCATCTTGACATGTATTCCTTTTCCTTTAGTTTGGTTTTATTTCCTCTTCATGGAAGACTAAAAAAAAAAAATCAAAGGACGAAATAAAGAGGATTTAGAAACTGTCTCACAGTTTGATGAGTCTGATTGGAGGAGAAAAAAAAAGGGGCTCAAATCTAAAAGTCAAGAAATTCAACGTGTGTCTCAGCTTTTTGTTGAAATGTGTGTTTTTTTATTACCATCCAAAAATAGATCTCTTGTCCACTTTGTTTAAAGAAGTATAAAGACATAGTTTTGGGAATAACACAATTCGTTAGTTATTGCAGAACAAACGGGGGAATTTCAAATTATTTTCCTACAGAACAAATGAATGATATAAACTCAATAAGTTAATAAAGACTTTGAAAGTTTCCTCTGAACAGGATGAAAAGATAGACACACAAACATATATAAGGTGACAAACATTTAGACAATTTTAAGCACGTGAGCTATTTTTAGAGCTGTGAAACACACATTGAGTGATTATGAGCAACAGCTTTCATGCAGATTTTTCGCTCAGACTGAGGAGGTTTTGTTCCCCAAGGAGAGGCTGGGAGACTTTTAAAGGGGGCAGACAAAAGCCAGTCTGAGATGCAGGCCACTTGTCTGTCCGGAGAAATCCTTTTGATCCAGAAGGGGTCAGAGACATTTTCTCTTCAATGTTGGCTAATAAAAGTTTGTCCCTTTTCCTCATCCTCCCCCTCCCGACTTAATACCTCTGCTCTGCCCTTTTTCTGGGAAAGCAAAGTGAGGCGGAGAAGGAAGAGTGCGGGACAAACAACAAAAAGCCCCCTCACAGCCCATATTTTACCTGATGTGAAATTTGACGCATGGTGTAGCTTTTACCACAACATAATCACAAGTCCCTCCTTTGTTTCAGTCTCTCTTTTCGCCTGTAGACACAAGCAGTCGTATCTGCGTTGTTTCCCTGTATTTCAGTTGTTGTACATGATGAGGTAGTAAGAATGGATTAATTAAGACTATGGCTTTAATCCATATAAAAAGAAGAATGATTTAGCAGTTATGTTTTGAAAATCTGAACATGCTTCAGATCTTTTCCACTCATACAATGAGCAACTTGTATTAATAATGTGTTTCTAGTTGAATAGCAAAGCAGTTACTCTTTGGTTCAACTGCCACAACTCTCACAACAGGCGATAAACCTCGAGATAAACAAAATCAACACATTCATACTTAAAACTCTTCCAAACGTATGTACACAATGAGAACGTGTCGAGGACTGCGCAGCGACAGGAAAGTGTGCAGCAGCTCCACTCTTCAGATAAACAAAAACGTGTCAAAGAAAGTGGAACCAACAGTCTGGATTTCTCTGAGCTGCAGCAGAGTGATAAAACACTAGATTCCCTTCATTGAGGATAAGAGAACATAATGTGGATATAAAAATAAAAAAAAGTAATGAAAATGAAATGAAAATGCCACATTGTTACAAGCATGAAGCTGACAAAAACATACAGCTAAATAAGGTATGTTCTGGTCTATGGCCCAAAAAAAAAAAAAAAAAAAAAAGATTTTCAAAACCCCATTATGCAAATAATACAAAGCAAAAAAAGGAATAAAGTCTGTGTGTAGTTTTCTATTTTCCGATGGTGTAAATATTTATGGTCATTATTATTTAAGCAGCAACGGTGGAGTGTATATGAGCCGTAAAGACTTAAAGTCTAACGCATTGTTTAGGGGCAAAGGCACAGATTTCCACAAACACCTTATCTAACCTCGTTTTCAGCATTGCTTGTCTTTTTTGGATGATGATTTAACATCATGATTATTAAATAAATAGTAAAATAAGAAACACTGTTATTATAAGCTAAGAATTTTAGTCACTATCAAATAGGCACGACCGCATTACCTCATCGTTTAACCTCCACCGTTGACCTCTAACCTCGAGCTAATCACAGTCACGCTGCCAAATGTTGAGCCCTGGGTGAGCTTTTGACCCCTGAATAGAATCGTGCTTTCATCGCCGATGTGTGAGACCAAAGGTTAAGTGTTTTGTGAGGTCAAGAATAGTAACTCGGCTAATCAAAATCTTCTCATGACTTTTAGCGAGAAGGAGAAAAAAAAAGGCCTGAGGTCAAATACTATCCGAGGCCCGTTCAGAAGAAAATTAACCTCTTAAAACTAGAGCCCGTTTCTGTTATTAAGAGTGCATTCAAAATTATTTCACAGTACAAAGATGAAAAAAAAAAAAAGAATACAGTATTTAAAGAATGTATATAAAAAAACCGTTTGAGCATGATTCGCTAAGACTATGTTAGCTTCCTTGTGCTGAATACAAAGGTATGTGATGTCAGAAGAGTTTTTAAGCCCGTGCTGCACGAGCTTTTGGACAGTCTTTTACAAAATGCTACATATGTACATTCAATATGACACATATCGATGTGAGGTGACATGTAGACGTGCTGATCTTCTGTTGGTTGTACTTCTCTACTGCCGAGTAGGTTGTTTGTGACGCATGAGCTTCCTCTTCTTGATCTTGAAGAAATCTACAGGGGGGGGAAAAGACAAAATCAAGAAAATTAACTCCAGACATAAATACAAATCTGTCTTAGTTGATAGCAATCTCTGTCTAACTGAAATAATAAATGTGAAGCTAAAACCAGCAAGTTAGCTTTGCACAAAGACTGGAAACACGGGCTCACAGCTGGCTTTGCCTCCAGTCCAGTACCAGCAAACTCACTTTTTAACACTTTTTATCTTGTTTGTTAAAGATGTGCAAAAAAATTAAATTGGTGCGTTATTACACTTTTATCTGTGTAATGCTAAGCTAAAGGCTAATTAGCATAATATTCATATACAGATGTCATCCCCTTTTTTCTAATTCTTTGCAAGACATGAATAAGCACATTTCCGAAATATTGATACAACTTCATATATTTGGTGGACTGACCTGTGATAGAGGACTGTTTGCGTTTGCCTTGCACTTTGATCCGATAGCACCCCCTGGTGGTCACCTCCAGGTACTCGTCTCCAGACCCTGACGAGCTGCTGGACCCTGAGGATCCCTCACGTGATGAAGATGCCGTCCGCCTTGTGCTGAATGGATTCCTCACTGGTTTAACCGTGCAGCTGCGGTAAAACGACGGCACATCCTGGCACCCTAGCTCCTCCCACTCAACGTTGGAGCCCTCTCCTGGCATTTCCCTCTGGAAGTCAAAGTTCCAGCGCTTGTTGGCCATCTCAGCACTCATGCAAAGTAGCCTCTCGAAGTCCATCTGCAGCTGCTGGTGGTCCACAGGCCCGAAGAGGTTCCTCCGCACAGGCCCCACCTTCAACTTCAAGGCCTCGATGCCCCCCAGACGTGAGCCCTCTGCTCTCGATTCTGTTGCTTGTCCCGCTGTTGATGTTGATGGAGAAGCCATCTCTATGTCCCTGTTGGAGAAAAAACTCAGTGTTAGAAGAAGGGCAGAGGTTGAGTTGGCTCTGCTGGGACTGCAGACTTTCAATGAGGTGTGATCGGAATTTTACGGGCATAGATCACAGACAAACATACAAGCTATTAAGGCTCAAACCTCCTTACATGTACCAGCAGTACCTGCTCTCCTGTGCACCTCTTTACTTTATGTGATTGAACACATGTGTGGCCTAAGCCGCTGAGTAATTACTGCAGCAACAGGTATCTGAACCAGCACCAAATAAATCTCCAACAAAATTCACACACACCCGGAGAAAACGTGACTCTCCACCTGCTCTGGTGTCTGACAGTGAAAGGTCACAAGTTAAGGTCAGAAGGTCACTTAGAGAAAATCAATGTTTACCACCTTTCCCCAGCTGACATGTGACAACTTTAATTAGAGGAGAACTGTTGAATTCTGGGTGTAATATCCTACCCTGTGTTTCCAGCTTCATCTATTCACAAACTGCACCGTCTCTAGGTTAAGTTCAGCATGTAGGTGGATTGCAACCACAACCTTTTCTTGGGCCTCTGTTTGACTCGTACTGCTTAGTGCTTTGTCAGCTGGACGGAGGCTGTAAACGACCATGATATGTGTTGGGATGGGCAAGACCTACAGCTGAGAGATAAATGATTTCACTACTGATACTAATACGATACTGTACAAGGTCAAAATGTTGTACTTTACTGATCTCAAACACGGAAATGTTAAGGGAGATTTGAGAACAAATACCACAAAAAAAACAAAGTTTGGGACGAGGGCGGTGGTGGCTGAAAAGTGGGTAGTGGGTTAACCCAACCCTGTCCAAAACCTACACCTTAAAAGATTGTTCTTAAGCTGCAGGTTCATTTTTATGAGTGCTTCGAAAAACAACCACCACAATTCAAGTGAATAATCTTAAAAGGGTAATTATAAGAATGAAGAAAAACAAGAGTTCAGTGTGCTAATAAAGACTTTAAAAACAAGCCTTAAGACAGAAGTAGGATGTTAGGGGAAAGAAACACCCAAGAGGGGCCAGAGAGAGAGAGAGGGGGGGGGGGGTTACGCAATTATTTGAAATCCACAGAATAAAGAGCAAGGAAGATCACTACTAGTCAAATAGTCTGTAATTTTACTTTGTCTGTATGTATTGTGTTGAAATTGTTTAAAGAATAAAACGTGTGAAACCGCTGCAGACGATCTTTTAAGTTTTCTGAAGTGCTCTGATAACTTCTAACAACAGATTAAACCCTCACTACGTTACGTTCCTCCTTAACAGCTGGATAAATATCTAAAAGACTCGATTAAAAAACAAGTCAAAACCATAATTGTTCTTCTTACACCAGCGGTGAAAGTTGTTTGCGTGGGAAATGAAGTGGGCGCGGTAAATGCAGATCAGGTTTCCACTCTGCTCCGCTAATCCCCCTCTTCACATCCTAACCCCAATACTTCTAAAACAAAAAAAAACGACAATGTCTGCAACCCAGACACATTTCTGTGCATTGACGAGTAAGACAACACGCAGAAAGTTCACTTTTAGACAAAGTCATAATGGCTACAGTGTGTCAGAAAAAGCTGTGTGACGCGGTCAGACTCAGCTATACTCCACTGTGGATGTGGGTCAATGAGATGCGACACACTGAGCAGCCCGCATCTTGTCAAATAACAACACACTCAAAAATACACACAGGTTACACTAGACACCACATAGCAGTTTTGACTTTTAAGAACAAACTTGTGTTTAAGTTTACACACACAGAGGTGAAATTTTCAACAAAATTGTCTCCAAATCCTCAAATAAACCTCACAACGCGATTGAATAAAACAAATACTTTGTCTATAATTTAACGCCATGAAAGGTCAAGTCATTATTGCCTCTTACCATCAGCGTCAATTTCTCTAAAGTTTAAAAAAAACACGTCCACACACTGCGCAAAGTTTATCCAGTCAGAGTGGGAAGTTGCTCCTTGAAAAGCCCCGTGGAAACAGAATCACGTCGACAAAGCTCCAGCCGACACTACCCACTGGAGGGTTGTCCGTGTTCCTCTTATCTGCGACTTGTTTGTTTAAGGACTTAACTAGAAGACTGTGGGGACGTCCTACTATAGGAGTCAGTCACATGGGTTCCCATCACAACAAGTCATTGTTGGAGCTTTTAGCCAGAGGGTAAACAACCATACCATCATTTCTGACGACAAATAAACGCAACACAAGCTGCAAATGCATTGCTGCAGAAGTGTGCAGAAATATATAAAAAAAAAAAAAATGCAATGAAAAGAAAAGAATAGTCAAAATAATGCAATGCATGCTTTTGCATTGTGTATATTGAAGTGTATACTGGTAAATGTTTCTTACCACGATATCATGATGCTGAAAGAAATGTCTGCGTCTCAGTTCCTGCGCTCCAGCTCCAAACCTGTTGCTTCTGCACTCTGTACAGTCTGTGGTGCTGCCCCTGTACTTCACTCCTCCGCCAGAGAGTCGAGAAGTAGGTCAAATAACTTGGCAGTGGCGGCCATTTCCATTCTCCCGCAAAATGTGACACACATTCTCGTGTTATGCTTGCATTGCGTTCAGTTCTGGCCCCCAGCCCACACCCTCCAGTCACGTTGAACTGCAACGTGACTTCACTACAGTAGGTCAAACAGCCCCTTTTTGACTTTACGTCCTTCACAAGTTCACATTTACCACATTCCTCCTATGGATAGGTTTGCATAACATTTCGTTCTGTGAGGTGGAAAAAAAAAAAGGCGCCGAAACGCACCTCAGTGCAGTGATCATTACATGTATTCAGTAAGAACAAGTTAAGAGGAAACACTGCTGTTTGACTTCTTCACCTTTTCATAAACTTAAGACTCTTAGTCATAAATCACAATGAATGCTATTTTGGCTGATAAAACCACTAATCTGATGTTAGACAATATTGAATAGAGCTACAATTATGATGCACTTGCTTTAGTAATTTATCAGTAAAAGTCTACTTTCTCAAATTCAAACATTTTCTTGTTTTTTCTCTCTCCACGTACATTTTCATCAATACTTTATCAATTAAAACAAAGTAGGGCTATATGGTTAGAAAGGGGGTGGGCCAAGTTTTCCACATGTTGCAGGCCCATTAAATGATCTGCTTTATATCACCATATGGCCTAAATGTTGCTTTCTTCTTTGGGGCATGAAACTTATTGGTAGGCTACTGGGTTTTATTTCCAACTCCTGAATGAGCTTCCTCCTTGTTGCATCATGAAGTAACACTTCCTACACCAATTATTTTTTGTTTTTTTCTTCTTCTGTGACTATTATGAAACACATCGGTTCTTCTTTCCTCTTCCTGTAATTAAGCCATAGTTTCTCCTCTTTCTTATGATCACATGCACTCTATCTGTTACAAGGAAGTATTATGAGCTTCGACCTATTTCCTGAATATTTTTTCAGTGACACATTGTTGAAGTCATTTGAGAGGGTGCTGCTGGCTGACCAACGCCCCTCACTCACAGAGGTTATTCCAGGATTGGCACTCACTATTTTTACACATTAGTCAGTGCCTGGACAGACTCACACAAGTAACGTTTTGTTTCCCGCTCAGACTTGAAGGCAATGCTGATGGCTTTGAGATGCATCGCCTTCTAAACTGAGCGGGAATTCAGTATTGGCATCGCAGGTAGCAGCAGTTGTGGAGCGGTCATTGTTTGTGTGCACTGTGTGTGACAGTCCCTTTCCTAGAAGTACTTACGTCACCGCTAAGGAATGTTTCCTTGAGTCGAAAACAGCTATTTTCTCATGGGGGAGCTTAACTCAAGTTCAATACAGTGCAACACAAAGCTCATAGAAAGCAGAACATTTTCTCTGAGGGTATCCATGTGTGTTTATGAGTTTGAAAAAAATCCCTAACTCTTCATGTTGGACTTAAATTACCAAGTTTCTCACTTAATATTTGTAACTATTTATGAAGCAAGACCCCGACCACGGTTATTAATTAACAGCTATTCATTCATAAAATGCACCTTTTTGACTGCAACGTTTTTAGTTTTGTTTTTTTAACAACTTGAAAAAATGCATGATTTCTTTTTGTGATCCCTCATACCTTGTATACGGTCCTTAACAGAAAGTGAGGATGTTAAAGTACTCGCTGGTTTTCTGATGCCCCACTGACATCCTTTTGCAGAACAAGTTCTTATTGTAGGTATTGTGGCTCCCTAGTCCCTTCCCATCATGATAAATAATAGTCAATTAGGGCTCTGTCCCAGTTCCCTAATGCCTTTCTAATCTGTGTGTAAACTGGGCTCAGTCATATCTGAGGGTTCAGCAGCAGACAATGAGGTCTCAGCAGCATGATCCCTCTGTGTGTTGTCAGCTCTCTGACCTGTATTTATTGTCAGTTTATTGTTCAACATTAAACTCCTAATCCTCTTCTTGTTGTGTATAGAGTGCTCTGTGTGTTTTGGTGTGATCATCCCCCCTCCCCCCCCTCCCCCACTCCTTCTTTCCCAACCTTAATCCTGTGTTGTATGTTGAGTTGTCTATCCAGTCATTACTGTAAACCCATTGTCTTCCCCCCACCCTCCCCGGTCAGTGCCTTTTGAATATATTAGAGTCTACCTAAAACAACAGTCACATTTCACAATGTAGCCTGGGTCAGAAGACGAGATGGGGTACTATCACAGTGGGTCTTGTGTTCAGAAAATCAATTCACTTCTATTCATTGTGATGTTACTGATTCACTGGGGTGTAAAACCAACACTATGGGGGAAGCTATCTATTCCTGTATCCTCAAACTGAAGGGGGTGTTTTGAAAAATGTACTGTCGATAGTTTGAAGGCAATCAGCACTAAATGAGCTAAATGAGCCCACGGCTTTAAGAACTTTAACATTATTATTAAGAGAGAGAAAACCAACAATGTGGCTTGAACGAAACTCCTGAAAAATTCCTGAAATTTTCCAGGTGACACACACACAGCTGATTTTTTCAGGCCAACCTAACCTGAGGGTTTTCATGGGAGCCCCCTGGTAAGTTTCTATGTGAAGTGGGGTTAGCCGAAGCTGGTAATATACGGGAGAACTTTCCGCAAGCGAGCAGGGCTGCTGACGTTTAAATTAAATTCAATTAAAAAAACTCTTATTTGTCCCCGGGGGGCACTTCAAAGAAATCATGTGACCGGTGAAATTGTTGTGCATGTAGTGAAGCTGCTTCATATTTGTTTCCGCTTGCAAGTATGTTCTTTACCATCACTTATTGATACTGTCATCATAGCGGCAGATGTTATGATGTATGGTGCATTTGTGAAGAGGCTAGTCTGGAACATTTCTGGGGAAGCCTATCCTAAAATATTCTGGAAACTTTCAGGAGTGCATGTGTGAAAAAGGCTTAAGTGATTGATTTCTTTCATGTGTTTCTGTAGGAAATGTGAGATAGCAAACCAACCGATTCAAAATTGAAGGTAGACCTAGACCTATAGACGTTGGTGTAATTCACTTCTATTAATGTTCTGAATTTAATATGTCATTTCTAAACTGATGCCATTATTTAAACATATTCAGCTAATTATCTTGCGAAAGTAGTTTGAATTTAGAATTTCTACTTTCTCAAGCTGATTGATTCATTTGTCAAGTTTGTGCACTAAATATGAAGCAAGGTGTCTGGAGTAGGTTTATGTAACCGCATCTCAAATACCAAAAAGAACACAGAGACGAGGAACAGCACGTACTGTGTGACAGTTTTGCTTCAGCAGGAAGTCAGTGGTGAGGGGAAGCAGTGATACAGACACTATAGGACGATAACCAGAGGAGAGGAAGTTGTTGGTTCACAGGTGCAATGTCGGGGTTTCCACTTCCTTTAGGCCTTTAGATAGTAAGAAGTAAGAAGACACTCACCACAGACAGCCGACGTCACTCACGATGTACTGACGAACCACAACAAATGACAGGAAAAGACACCATGTGAGCACTGTCGCTTCAAGCAAGTTAGTATGGGGAAGTTAGTATTTAGCCTGAAGTCAGGCTTCACAGAATTTCTAGGACTTTATGTAACAGAAGTGTGCTGCAGAATGAATTATAGACATTGTAATGTATTTTAAACGATGGGTGTCTAATCCTTATCCATATTTTCTGTGATACTAATGAGAAATGTGGAGTGACTTTATATCTAGGCCAGGTCCCACAATGCAACTTTTTCTTTGACTTCTTATCTAAATTTGGAACTTTGTACCCTCTGGGGGGGGGGGAGTCCCAAAAAAGGAGTCCCACAAACACACAGTTCAGTGCAAGCATTCCATACGTAAGTGGGAGGAGTTTCCATGGGAGTAATCGCCCCGGTTGTGGAGCCCACAGGTGGGGTTGTTGTGGGGTGGGAGGAGTGAGACGTACTCGATATTATATGCGTGTGTTTGTGGGTTTATGTGTGTGTGTGTGTGTGTGTGTGTGTGTGCACCTCTTTGGAAAAAGCGGGAAAAATTGGGTGTGCAGGAAAAGCGAGGCCATGCGCTGGCAGCTGGATTTTGTCAGGGGTTCACCGGGGGAGCTAGCATGTCAGGGTGAGCGGGTTTACACTGAAGTGTGCCTAAGGAGACCCTGACTCGGTGTGTTTTTTTTTTTTTTGGGGGGGGGTCCTCAGGGGGCAGAGATTGGGGGGGTGTGGGTGTGCCAGATTGGGGTCTCAGATTTTATTTTTCTTTGAGCTGTGCAGCCTGCGTGTGTGTATGTTGTCTTTGTGCATTTATCTGTAAATGTGAAGAGCTTCTTGTTCATTTTAGCAGCACAGTATTTTAAGGGGAAAGCGAGATGCCCTGTTACTGTGGGGAGTGTTTGTGGGCGTGGGAAGAAGTTGGAGGGCGATGGGTGGGAGGGTCGGACTGGGCGGGTGTAAATTGATCCTTTGTTTTTGTCCCTGCGAAAGGGTCTTGGAGGGACTTGTTTTTTACCCCGCTGAGGTGACCTTGAGGCTAGTTCAACGTCAAAGCCAAAGGAAGTCCTGCATCAGTTTCAGCCCCTGGTGAAAAGGTGTTTTTGCTTCAGCTGATGTGATTCTGCCCTTATCTGCATCTGGGTGAACATCTGGTTTGCATCTGGACCT